TTTTTGGACTCCGCCAACCTTCTACAATAAACCCACCACTTGCACTTTCGGTCATGACATGCAACCGTCACAACCGATGAATTAGACTTTTTGGTGATGAACTCAAAATTACCTCTCACGGCAACAAGTTTTAGCTTCATCACCACTTTATCTTTGTTGTCAAATAAATACCCTATGCACAACTCCAATCCATCCGTAAAAACATGAGCTGATTGACTACTACCTACAATTGTCCCCTCTGAACCTGCATAAAAGACCATAGTGTTCTCTTCCAAACAAACTACACCTTCTGCATAATCTATATTTAAAGGAATCTCTACATATGCGGGAACCCCAACCTCCTCCTCAACATTTTCATTTTTCCGCACATGACCAACCTCTTCTATTGTGTCCTTCTCACCACCCAAATCACCGCCCACTTTTGATTTTTCAACTAAGAAATCAATGCCCTCGTAGTTCAAATTAAAACCAACATTCTCTCCGTCAACTTTCTCATTATCCCCTTCCTTTGAACCAACTTCCAACAGTTTATCTATAAAAGAAACCCTTAAAATCAGCCTCGAACCATTATCGGCCACATCAATCATATATAACTTCACACCTTCATCCGACTTTAATATAGCAGGAGGTACCTTATAATGTTCAGGAACTTTGCTTAAAACATACTTCACAACTATATCACTATGTAAGCAACTCAAATCACATCTTCTAATTATTTCATCAATCAACTCATCAAAACTAACCTTTATGCTCACAGTAATTGGTATAACTTCTTTGCTTTTCCCAATCGACTTCCAGCAACTTTCTTCCTCCAGCCACTCACCAAAATATTGAACACCCAAAACAACTTGTCCTATGTCTAATAATAGCCAAGTACCTATAATGCAAGAAAAAAAAATATTAAAAAAATATTATTAATTGATGTATTAAGGGTTGAAAGATTTTAAAAAGCATCTGCAAAGTCACTTGAGCGATCTGGTATATCGTTTACTGGATCGCTTAAGCGATATAATGGATCGCTTAAGCAATCTAATATAAATAAGCTTGATCGCTTAAGCGATCTTATGCCATTTACCTGATGGTTTAAGCGATCTGCTGCCATACACCAGACTTATAGCAGATCGCTTAAGCGATCTTCTGCCATATACATGATCGCTTAAGCAATCTACAATCTGCTGCATTATACCAAACATACCAGATCGCTTAAGCGATCCATCATATTCAGAACACACTTTCAGTCATCTCCACCTGCAATCGGTGCTACCATCCCCAACTACCCACAATGCAAGAAAATATTCAACAAATTTCACTCCTTTCAATTTGCAATACATCAAACACAACCCAACAACCTAAACAACTAAATCAAAATCATAACTCAAACCCAATTCATTATTAAATCTTTGTAAATCAAAATATAAAATGGAAAGGGGAGATACACATACCTGGACGAAATGTCAAGAGGACGAGGAGGATCTGTGGCGGAGAAGATGTTAATGGCAGAGGAAGAAGATAGTGTTAATGGCGAAAAGAAAAAGATGTACAGGACGGAGGAAGAAGAAGATGTATAAGAAGAAAAAGATGCAGACGAAGAAGAAGATGCAGAAGAAGATATAAACGAAGCTTAGAAGAAACAACAACCAGTGGAGGGATACGTTAATGGCAGGAGGAAGAAGAAGAAGGTGTTTGGGTTTGTTTGCAAGAATTTTGGCTCTTTGGGGACATATTATAATTTTTAAAAGATTACACAATACTTCATTAATCATAATTAACCGCTAATAATATTTAATTAACCTTAATCAATAACAATGCTATTTACTTAACACTTTCAAACTACATAGCCTTTTAATTAAATTTGAACTTGATATAACCTTTTAATAAAATGCCCACTCTACTCTCTAGGTCTTGTTACTGTAAAATTAGGTGGTTATTAGAAGGTAAGATTTGAAAATTAACAAAAACACTCCCTAGGTTTGTTAATTTACTAAACACCCCTTAATAAAACATTATAAATTAACAAAAGCACCCCCACTTACCCATTAAATACCGACAGCCGGCCACCATCGCTAGAGGGTGGCCGAAGTCGCTATATCAGTGTAGGACCGACTAGATCTGGCCGGTCGTGCTTCGATATGGCATTTTCTAACCAAATCCATTGTGGATCTAGCTAGAAAATTCTAGATTTACAGCTAGATCTGGCCGCGTTTGGTCGTCAACGATGGCAAAGATATGACTATCATCAACAACTAGCTACGGCCAGATATTTGGCTATAGATCTGGCCTTTTCCGGCCAGATCTACGATGGATCTGGCCGAAAAAGGCTACATCGACGCACTACGAGCCAGATCCAGCTAGTAGTGCACAATTATACTAGATTTCGGCCACCTTTCTGCGGTGGTGGCCGGAATCTGGCAAATGTGGGTTGGTGGGAGTGTTTTTGTCAATTCCTAAACTTTTTTTGGGGGGTGCTTGGTTAAATTAACAAACCTAGGGGGTTTAAAAGTAATTAAACAAAATAGAATAATATTTTCAGAATAGGAAAACAAATGTGTATTTTGGATAGGATAGGAATAGAATAGGGGAAAAATTGCAAAACAAATGCACAAATATTTTGTTTCTTTATTCTCAAAATCCTATCATAAATTATTCAGGTGCATTTGTTTCCTTTTTTTTTTAAATACTCTATTCCTATTCTTAAAAAGATGCATGTTTGTTTCCCTATTCTCAAAATTATATCTTATAATATTCAATTATTTTAAACCTCCATAGGTTTGTTAATTTAACTAAACACCCCCAACAAAAAAGTTTTATAAATTAACAAAAACACCCCCACCCACCCACATTTATCAAATTCCAACAACCACAGCCGGAAGGTAGCCAGAATTTGGCATAATGGCACATTAACGACTAGATCTGACCTCTTTGGCCACATTTGGTCGTCCATGACGACTAATAGATGGCCGTCGTTGAGGGGTGTAAACGAGCCGAGTCGAGCCGAGTATCACCCTAAACGAGTCTGGCTCGGTTAAGCATTAGGCGAGTTTGAGTCGAGTCATGAGTCGACCGAGTCAAGAAAATTCGGCTCGTGACTCGGCTCGTTTATAAACGAGTTGGCTCGTGACTCGGCTCGTTTATAAACGAGTTGGCTCGTGACTCGACTCGAGCTCGTTTAACGCGAGCTCGAATTGGCTCGATTACGGCTCGTTTGGCCCTTTTTTAATATAACCTGCAAATCTTGTTTTACACAAATCAGATCCAATTTTTGATAAATTTACATCTAAATCAATATAAATCACATCCAAATCAACATAAACAACGTATTACACAACAAATTATATAATCCAAGACAAAAAAAAAAAAAAAAACACAAATGTCCATCAAAATACATCAAAACGGCATAGAACTTTGGGGGAGAATGCATTTACGCGATTTTATTTTGGGTTAATTGGGGTTATTTGGTTAAGGGTTAATTTGTGATTTTTTAAACCTTTTAGTCTTTTACATGTCAAATTACAAAACAAACCAAAAACTTGTATTATGCGCAAAAAAACCTTAAACGAGCCACTATTGGCTCGCGAGCCGAGTCGGGGTAGACTCGAACTTGGCTTGGTACCTTACTCAAGTCGAATTCGAGCTGGCTCTGCTCGATTATAATCGAGTCGAGTTCAAGTATTTGCCGAGCCGAGCCGCTCGCGCAGCCCTACCATTAACAACAACCATATCTTTGGTCGTCGGCTAGATCTGGTCATCGGTTAGATCTAACCGTCAATGGCTAGATCCGGTTTGGCCGATCGTGCACAATGACACCAGATTCTGGCCATATTCCCGCAATGGTGGCCAAAATCTAGCAACTGTGGGTGGGTGGGGGTGTCTTTGTCAATTTATAAACTTTTTATTATTGGGGGTGTTTAGCTAAATTAACAAACCTATGGTTTTTTTTGTTAATTTTCAAATCCTACCTCGTAATAACTCAACTCAACTTAACAATAATATTTCAAAAATACTACTTAAAATAATAAAACAAACACACCCTTATTTCAAAAATACTACTCTAAATAACTAAACAAACGCACCTATATTTAAAAAATGAATCAATTTTACCAAAATATCCATTGAAATTAAGGGCATTTTAGGTGTTTTGATAAATAATTTAGAATGCTAAAGTATATATATATTGCTCGTCTAATTAAATATATTTTCATTACTTCATTTATTTTTTCCTTTTTTTTGTCTCCCTACTTAGCTCCTCGTACTTGTATTTATTTTGTAGGTAGAACAGTATGCGGGGGTGTAGATATTTCTAGAATTGTCTGTTCTAAATGGGTGAACCTGAGTCTGTGACCTGTTCATCTATGTCAATTTGATAGGAGCGTGAGAGGCATAGTGCCATAGTGACTGCCAAAAGCCTGTAGCTTAGCCCTCAAGCATTACACAAATTTACTGTTGATTTTTTTTTTTTTACTAATGCTACAAAAAGAAGAGGTAGATTGAATTTGTTAATAATGATGGGATTATGCAAATCTCTTAGGATTATCTTATCAAGCGTTAATCAGCATGAAATTCCAGAGAGTTGGTTCAAGTAATATTAAAGGAAAGAAAAGTACAAAAGGACGGCTACCACCACGATTATTACATTCATTAGCTGGAACCACCAACATATCAAATACCATATGCCTACTACTCGGAGGAGTAAACGCAGTGGGGCAGAACCCATCGTAGTTCATATGTCTCCTCCGGTGTTAACGAGTTCAAAATGCATTTAAGATACAAACACAACTGAATTTTACTGAGCTACTTTCATTTGATTTAAGAATTATAACGCTGCGTTAATCAAGTGCACACAGCTGACTTAAAACTTAGAAATAAGCCCTCAGTGTTATTGATGTAAATTACCTCATAAAAACCACAAAAAATGTATTTAACTAACATTTGTCAAACATATCATTCTTCATATATAACTGATCCTGCTTAGGCAAAATTATAACTGGTTCAACAGTTTTAAATTAAACATAAACGCCAGAAGCAAGTAGCAAGAATAAGGACCCAAAACCCTGCACCAGAAAGATCAACATTAGATGTCAGCAATGAAACAAAATTCCAGGTAATCTGTATACAAATATCGATACAAACGACATGTTAATACATACTAGGAAGACAGATGCTACTGCTCCTGTTATAAGCTCCTTGGCGAGACTGCGATTCTGCCTAGAGGAGGTTGCTTCATAACTGCAAATAACAAATAGCACATATCATTAATTAAAAGTGGTAAAGAAGATAAACCATGCACAACTTTAGAGTTTAAATTGCTTAATCCCTAGAGATAAGGATGATGGTAATGGAACCTATAAAACATGCACATCATTAAGATTTCATGAGAAAAATAAGATAATAAATAAAAGACAAGAATTCTAATAGGATAAATAGCCATAGTTAAATCAAAGTACGATTGATACGATATATTTAACTCATAATTTACTTTTCATACTCATACTCCCTGCTTCTACTACCACAAAGAACCAGTAGATCTGTCTATGCCAAAAGAAGCAAGCATATCATCAGGTGCAGCTCAACTGATCTTACCAGTTCACACAGGGATTGACATCTTTGTATTAAGAAAAAAAATAAAATAAAAAAAGATCCACCTTCTCAAGCTGCCCCAAATTTCTATCAAATAACCAAGTTAAATCAACTTGTGCTTCTCCCAGGTTTCACCTTCAATGAGTGCTTCCATCCAATAAAGAAAGAACACTTTACCAGGAAGATTTAAATCATAAGGGCTCACAAGAAAAACAGACCCCTAAGTTCAAGGTTGTCAAATATAGAACTTTTATGAGGAAACAACCAGATTAGTGTCACTAAATTCATGTAGCAGCAATAAAGGTCATACATCTTCAACCAGAGAAGGCACAAAAAACAACAAAAATCAAAAGCAGTAGAACTTGTGCGAGTCCTATAATCAGCAATAGAAGCTTAACTATGCAAAAAAAAAAAAGAGAAAATGCACAAGTGAATTGCACCTTAGAAGGACTTTATCCCCCAGCATAGAATTATCCTAATCACATAGCAAATGATATAAACAAAGAAAAATATGTTTGACTGACAAAACAAACAGTGCCAATGAGTTAACTCTGCTAGAACATGAAGGCCAAAAACTGTAAAAGTCATGATCCTACATCACTGTAACATATGAAGAAATTAAATTAAGACCGCTTAAACATAACCAACAGAAAAAAAAAGTCAACACATAATCTCCTTATAGAAACAGTTGAGATCAATTTAATCTTCTGGCAGATTCGAAGTGTCCCCTTCATCTTCATTTTGCAAAGCAAATGATGTGCAAATTCATACATACAACTGGAGGCAATTCAAAGTCAGTAACCATTATAACTGCATGCACACAAAATTGGAACTTATATTCTAGCTTGACTGTATCCCTGCTTTAATGAATAGGTTCCAACAATTTCCAATATCCCAATTCAATATGGACTGTGCATTTAACACTTAGTAATGTAGAAAATATATGGGAAACCAAACCAATCGTAAAAAAAAAAAAAATTGCAAAAGCTATTGGCTTATTTTGTTTACACAGAATAAACCTTCGCATTAGCAAATTTAAATATAACAGCGCTTGTCTAGACATCTGATGATTAGATATACTGAAGAACTAAGAAAAAAATGCTCAAGGATTACCATCCAAACCCCCCAAGTGCATTAATATAACAATTCAGCCCGAATTCAATCAAAATTCTATCAGTTACATAGTTAAATGGAATCATAAGCAAGAATCCCATGAATGTGAATATCTACCAGTCAGTCTAGATCTACAAATCTAAAAAATTCAAATGTAATATATCTAAAAGTGATCCGTTTTCAAAATAAAAATAAAACAAAAAGCAAACAAACAATCAATAAATATAACTCAAATTGGTTGCAGAATTAAACAATAAAAATAAAAAGAAAGAAAGAATTTTCGGAGAGGAGATCGAGCTTACATGAAGAATGAAGCAGTGAGGAGGAGACCTATTGAGAGCATGAACACAGATAGGGTCGGGTACCACGCATCCGGCACTGGACTTGTAATGGGTTTTGGAGCCTTCAGAAAAAAAACGTGATCAGAAATACAAAAACACATAAAATGCTTTAAGCTAACACTTTAGACAGAAATGATGTAAATTGCAAGGATTTTACCATGGCAGACGGTGGTTAACAAACGGATCTCAATCTACTTGGACGATGTGGAGTGAATTGACGCGCCTGCGTTCTGAGTCTGAGAGCTGACTGCCGAGAGGTTTTTGTGCATATGTAGGAGTCTATGTGAGTAGACGTGTTATTCAGTGCTCCGATAGCACATTAAAGCTCGTGCTCTCTCACTGGTGGCCGTTGATGTAAATGATGAATTTTTTCCTGTTGACTTTTCTTTTTACTGCTTAAAGTAAAGAATAAATGGATTTGAAAATTTTTCAATTTTTTTTATTATTAAAAAAAGTCTATTTTTATATTAGTTATAAATATAAAACATATAATAAATAATGAATAATACTACACATACATCATTCTCATACAATATTTTTCATACAATATTATGTGACAAGATATATGTAGTATTACTTATAAATAATTGTATTTGAACAACTTTGTGAGAGTATTACAAAAGGATCAAATTAAAAAAAATGATAATTCATTTTAATAATATAACCATTTTAATTATTTTTGAAGTTATTTTATTTATATAATTATTCTATTGGTATTACAAATGGATGAAACTAATATATTATGTATTAACCACTTTAAAGGTCAATTAAAACTCTTGAATGTATTATTCAATAGGTCCTGAGTTTGATCTTCTTGAGTTACTAATAGAAGATTTATCATGTTATCAACTAAACTTCAAGACTCCAGTGAATTAATTTAGGTCACCATATATATATATAAAGTAGAATTGTGACAAAATTATTAATTTCCTTCTGTTTAACTTATTTGTCGAAATCAGATCAACAGCAAAACCTGGTCGCATTATGTTCATCTATGGAAAAATAAATTAAAATATATAAATAAAAGAGCATAATTACTTGAAATTTTTTTACTATTCTAAAAGTATTCATTTCCTTTCATGATACATTATATTCTGTACATTTGAGTAAAAAATCCATTCCTTTATCTTTCTCTATCTCTTTCAACATCACCTTATTCATTCCCCCACTCTTCCCATTTTCACTTCACTCCTTCTTTTGTCTGCACAAAAATCTGCAGTCCCCATCACCTTCCTCTTTTTCCATTTACTTGGCTTGGATGGACAAAATGACTGAGAGTGCTAATGAGAGTCCAAAATTTTTGACTGAGGAAGTCAATCTACACAAATTTATATATTTTTGGTTTTCAATATGAGCCCGGCCATAACCTGAATGCACCACCATGTTCACTGACACTACCTGCAGATAATCTCCTTACTCTTTGCCAGAACTGTTTGCCCCTTCCTGTTCTTGACGGACCTGAACTCAAGCATCTCCTAAATGAACCGGATTCTTCCTTACTGAATCTTGCAGATGAACTGAATAGTTCTGATACTGGAAGTCCTCTCTCAGAGTCGATGCCATAATTGTAGTTAGGAACCGAGTAATGGCTCTGCAAAGGATTAGGCAATCGTCCAGAGCCTGTACTGACCCTTTCGTCCAAATCAATGGACAAGGTATCATGGCTAGAACTTCTTGAACCCACTTCCTTTGCCTCATCACACTCATTGCATACTAATTTTAAGGCCTGCACAACCTCACCCATGAAAGGACGGTGTTGTACCTCTCGTTGTACACACATTGAAGCAATAGCTGCCACTTTGGCCACGCTATCAAAAGGGACATCAGATCCAAGAGAAGGATCAATAATTGTTTCCAAACCTTCTCTGCTTGTGAGGAGTGGACGGGCCCATGCCACCAGATTCTCTTGGCCAGGAAGCTGTGACATGTCTACTGGTTTTCGACCAGTTAGGAGCTCAAGGAGAACAACACCATAGCTGTAAACGTCACTCTTCACAAGAAGATGTCCTGTCATTGCATACTCAGGAGCCACATACCTGGATGGAACATTTATTTCACATTTCAAATTAACAAGCAATAGAACAATGCAACAGATAAACTTAGAATGTTGCTTTGCAATAGCTAGAAGATGCTTAAACGACATTCAACAACCAAGCAAAAATGAAAAATACTGCCCAACTCCAGCATTTATTATTTTTTCCTTGATCTTTTACTTGAACTAGACATAGAAAATTTGTACACTAAGCCTTGTATAAAAAGTGACATCGCTTAAAATAAATAAAAGATGAATATAAAAGTCAACTCAGTAATAAGGATAGATGATATGATAATAAGAGTAATGTCGCATCATTTGCATACATCTCTTTCATACAAGCTTTGTACGTGTAACTACGCCTTCAGGAATATATCATATGCAATAACAATGGACATCAGTAGGTAAGTTAAGAAAACGTTTTGAANTTAAAAGAAATTATTCAAAAATTAATAATAAAAATAATCTTATATTAATATTTAAAAGGGGGACAATTTAGTAATTTAAATAACATACCCACCAATTTATTCCCCATAACCAAACATATTCATATAACATACCCACTAACTAACCAAACACATTTTTTTAAAGATTCCCAGTAATCTTCCAAGGTAATCTATCTTCCCAGTAATTTAACATTCCTAAACCAAACGCCCCCTAAGAGTAATGTCGCATCATTTGCATACAACTCTTTCATACAAGCTTTGTACGTGTAACTACGCCTTCAGGAATATATCATATGCAATAACAATGGACATCAGTAGGTAAGTTAAGAAAACGTTTTGAACCCACCCAATTTCTTCACTATTTGTAAGCTAGTCTTTTACAATTTAGATTGACCATTGAAATTCTACAGACAAAATTCCTGAAAAAACCAATGAACTCGAAGAGCTTAGGTATTGACATGAATAAATCGGGGAAGGGGGGATGATTCAGAACATTATTTATGGCTTGGCAATGGATGACCTATTCCTTGTTTTATGTCAGTTTCTTGAAAAGCTACTTACTGAAGACAAGGAATTCTAGTTGTGTTTCAAATTATTAAGCTGAACCCTTATATAGCAATTTCTCGATGTTAATTTAGTTAATAGACAGACACTAAAGATATTCATTTTCTAGAGGTGGCCAAACTCCCATCTATTCTAAAGAACTATCATTACTTCTAACAATCATAAATTAAGGAATGACAAGCATATGAACAATGAAATATCTTCACACTGCTATCCATGTGATATGTCAGGTTTACAAATGCTACCACGTGTACTCTTATGAAATTAAATATAGCCAGAGAGAGGAATGCATACCCAAATGTTCCCATTACACGTGTTGATATGTGTCTGCTTTCCTCGTCCAAGGCGGTTCGAGCCAAACCAAAGTCGGATACTTTTGGAGTGAAATCATGTTCCAACAAGATGTTGCTGGCCTTGAAGTCCCTGTGTATGACACGAGGGCTTGAATCCTCATGCAGATAAGCTAGACCACGAGCAGAACCAAGTGCAATCTTTAAGCGGGCGTCCCAACCAAGGGGAGCAGATTCCTTGTCAACTCCTGAAAACAAATGGACAAAAGCAAAACCATTTAACAAGAAATTTTTTTTTTTTTTTTTTTGGTAAAAAAAAGGAGTAAATACATAAACCCAAAAAGATTACCATGTAAATGGGATTCAACACTGCCATTTGGGATGAGTTCGTAAACCAAGCAGCGGGCGTGCTCCTCAATACATATACCAATCAACTTAACCAAATTTCTGTGATGCAAGCGACTAAGCATCTCAACTTCAGCCAAGAATTCCCGGCCTCCTTGTTGATCATCTCTCTTTAGAACTTTGACAGCCACTTTGGTTCCATCTTCAAGAACACCACTATAAACACGCCCAAAGCCACCTTCCCCTAGTATTTTTGAAGAATCAAAATTGCAAGTGGCTTTCTCTATGTCATTTGCAGTAAAAGTCTTGGCAGATCCTGTATAAGTTGCAATGCTAGATCCAAATGAAAGGGAAGCAGAGTCTAGACCACTGCCAATTGTTGACCCAGTAGCACCTGTAAATTTATGCTTTCTTCTATCATCTGAACGAGAAAAACAAAAAACAATGGATGGATCCAATGCACCCCATATTACTACAGTTAAGACTACAATCATAAGAAAAAATGAATTGCATACTTAATTAGACAAGAACAGCTTGCCAGGTCAACCCACACGGAGCAACTTATCATGCAAAGCTCTCCAAATTATATATTAGACTCATCTTGAACAATCTGATCTACTAAAGGCTCTAGTCAATACAACTGAGAGCAAATTGGACTTGGTTTTATAGAAATTAGTATTACCTGATGCTTTTGCATGGGATGATTGCAAAGTTTGTGGAGCTACCACCCTTTGACTATCACGACCTCTATATTTGGACAATAAAACCCAAGCAACGGCAGAACATAAAACAACAGCTACAAAGGCTGACAGAACAACAATAGCAATTGTGCCACCACTGAGCCCATGTTTTTTTTGTCTCTTTGGTACATTGACCCCTTCAGGCTTTATTGCCCTCCCATTATTTCCAGAATATGGCCCATCATCAATTATCGTAATGTCGGAAGATGCTGAAGGCGGTGATGGAGGTAAACCTGTAGAAGCATTATTTCTATATAAATACCTAAATCATATTTACAAAAGAAAATGAAAAAAGATAATCAAGAAACTAAATAATAGAATACCGGGGTAGTGCACATATAATACTTCATAATCACCGAAGTATGAAGATTTTATAAGGATTTGTTTGTGCCAAAATCTGTGATAGGTCAATAAGGCTGTGGTATTATCAAATTTTTCTCCAAGGGGTACCAAATCAATAAGGACGACTGTCTTCTCAGGTTGCTGACTTGCAGCATTGGCTCCCATAATTCGTACTTGGCTTTGTTTCATAAAAACCCCAGAAGCAATTTCCGCAGCTAGCTCCGAAACCAAGGGAAAGAAAGTATACAGTGCAACACTAAGGCGCAGTCCAACTTGCATGGGCCAGACACAGCCACATGGTGATCCAGGAGGAGTATTTGTATATGGCTCTGTGCAAATAGTTGCTGAACAATCTACAGATAGGATCAATCTATGTGTTATATTTAGTAAGATGAAGAACACCCAAAAACAGGAACACTAGGAGTCCCAAAGCAAATAGAAACTAGGGTTACATACCTTCATTAGGAGGTGGTGGTGGTAATGTATGAATAGGTGGCAGAACCGGCACTTTTGGATGCTTCGTTGAAGGCCCAGAAGGAGAAACTTTAGGGGGAAAAACAGGCACTTGGAAATGTAAATGTATTGCAAAGTCAGTTATTATGTAGACAGCAAACAAAATATGAATTTTCAGCATCAAGATATGTATTTAGAAAAATAAAAAAGAGAGTGACGTGAGTTTTTTCTTACTTCCAGTTTGGACAGATGCCACAACTGGAGATGGTGGTGGAGCAGCTGGTACATGACTGACTGATGAAGGGGAAGGGGAATGCGATGGGTAAACTGAAGAAATTTGAAGGCAGTTACAAAGTTAAAAGTTGAATGCCATGTTATTTGACTACTCAGGATCTGGTCTCAATGAATCACAATAGCATTCATAATTCAGGTACCTGGATTAATGGGTGGAGAAGCATGGTGCCTTCTCCTGCTAATAGGAACAAATACTGGAGGGAGTGCCGGACCTATATGAAACAGTAATAAGGTAAACTGGAAATTCATTGGAAAACATAATATTATTGTAATCAGATATCAAGTTAGGTAAAGTCATAGGGTATTAATACTAAACCTTGCTGTATTGAAGCGGTAGGAGAAATAAAATATGACGAAGGAGGGCTGACAATTTTGTTCCTCGTATGATGATGCTTATGAATTGAGGCTGAAGGTGAAGATGCAGGAGCCTGATATCCTGTATTTTTAGGAGAAGAAAAGGTAACAGGAGCATCATTAGATTGCCTCATGGATTTGTGTGGAAGGCGCTACAGCCGAAAAGAACCTTTTAGTATTTCAAAAGAAGCTTCATAGTTTTGATTAGCATACTTCATGGCAATGATTTGGCCAAATCATTCAAGATTTAGAAAGTGTACCTTTAGTTGGGGAATGGCTCACAGGTTGTAATGGCTTGGGTATTTCATATGGAGGTTCAGCAACTGGTACTCCACCTTTTTTCCTGTCAATGCCCGAGGGTGGAGCTGATGGAGGAGGAACATCAGGATCTGCAATCTCATATGGGGAACCAAAAAAAAACAATTATTATATAAATATGAAATCATCACATCTGAAATCAAATACAATAAGGTTACTATAACTGGTTAAACCAATGTCTATTTTCCACAGCTACCATGTTTAATCATATACATCCCCAATATTCTTTTGAATTTTTTTTTTATCAATAAATCGGACACAACACATAGAGGGAGCTTTTCAGATTCCTCCAAGCTGTTGTCTCAAGGAAAAGCTTGTTGAAAAAAGATACGTGAGGACACAAGGGAAAAGAAACTGCCCTCTATTAAGAGGGCTTCAGTTCAACAAGGCCGCCTTCATTTATAAATATAGGTTCTTGGATCAAAGAACAAAATGACAATACCAAATCTCTCAGTCAGCCAATGGAAGATAAACTATGATAATAATGATACAATTATCTAGTAAGTGGCACCTGGTAGAACAGATGGAGATTCCCCAGGCATAACCGGGTGGATAGCTGGTGAAATTTCTGGCAATTTTCCGGTTGGTGATGGAACTGGTACTGCATTGTTAACCCGAGGAAGAAACAATTAGGTCAATTTGAAACAGTCACTGGTAGAAACTTCAAAGGAAATATATGTGTAATATAGCATACCAGGTAATGGGGATGGTGTCATTCTTGGAATAGTTGGGTGGACCATTGGTGACTTTTGTCTTGATATCCTTGTTGGCAATGGAACTAATATAATGTTTTGGGAAAGAAAGAAAATGGAAGTCTGATTAAAACAAGCTCTACTCAAGATCTTACGATAACTTAATAAAAAGATATCTGTATACCTGGTCCAGTTGGCTCTGCAGTTGGAGCCTTATTATTTGATGCATTTCTTTCATGAGTAATTGGTGGCAAAGCTCCTGGTGTTCTTGCAGGAATCAATGGTACAGGTTGTGGTGAATTCCTCAAAGGGGTAGCAACTGAAAAAGACAATGAAAAAATGAGGTCGGTCCAGGAAAAGCCAAGTTCAATAAGACTTCAAAACACCCTCATGAAAAAGAAAATGGAAGTCTGATTAAAACAAGATCTACTTGAGATCTTACGATAATTTAATAAAAAGATATCTGTATACCTGGACCAGTTGGCTCTGCAGTTGGAGCCTTATTATTTGATGCATTTCTTTCATGAGTAATTGGTGGCAAAGCTCCTGGTGTTCTTGCTGGGATCAATGGTGAAGGTTGTGGTGAATTCCTCAAAGGGGTAGCAACTGAAAAGGACAATGAAAAAGATGAGGTCGGTCCAGGAAAAACCAAGTTCAAAAAGACTTCAAAACACCCTCATGAAAAAGAAAATGGAAGTCTGATTAAAACAAGTCTACTCGAGATCTTACAATAATTTAATAAAAAGATATCTGTATACCTGGACCAGTTGGCTCTGCATTTGGAGCCTTATTATTTGATGCATTTCTTTCATGAGGAATCGGTGGCAAAGCTCCTGGTGTTCTTGCAGGGATCAATGGTGAAGGTTGTGGTGAATTCCTCAAAGGGGTAGCAACTGAAAAAGACAATGAAAAAGATGAAGTCGGTCCAGGAAAAGCCAAGTTCAATAAGACTTCAAAACACCCTCATAAGTTCTGTACCTGGAGCACCTGGTAGTGAGACAGGACTCTTTCTAACTGGTGCCTTCCCTGGAGGAGCACTTTGCAGCATAGATGGTACTAGTCCATGGACAATTAAGGGTGGTGGAGCCATACTGGATGGTGTTGACACTGCTGGAATTCTTGGTGGAAAAGATGGTGGAGTGGCCATAGTAAATGGAGGTGATATTAGAGGAGTAACCGGAGGCAAGGATGGTTCATGTCCTTGAAAGACTATGGGCGGAGGAGCAGAACTGTGTGGCGGCAAGTCTACTGGAGTACTTGGTGACAATGAAGGTGCAAGACCTGAAACCATTTGGGGCACTGGAGGTGATGCAATAGGAGGTATTATAGGAGGGTATAAATTTGACCCTGGATCAAACCAGAAGCTTCATTAAAAAAAATCTGAAGATCAGTTAACAGTTTAACAGAGCCAGGTTTCTGAAGGTTACCATTTGGCTGAGATGCTGGGCTCTGGGCATTACTTCTCAATGAATTACCAGGTGTTCCTTCTACAGGAGGAATCACAGAAAGAATCGCTGGAGAGGGAGAGATATCAAGCCCTGAATAAATGGAAAACAAAAAAAGTTTTTAGCATAAAATTCTTACAAGCAATTGACAACTTGATAATTGTTAATCTGTATAGGTATCTGGTAATGGTCTGAAATAGATTTATAGGACTCTAAAGCTTATTACGTAAACTCTTCTCAGCAATTCTCAGGAATGTCAAATTCCTAACTTATCAGGTCAGTAAAAAAAACATATTCACAATGTTTCCAAGTTCATAGCAACTTTAGTTTTAACGGTGGCATGTTTCACTTCTACAAGCATCACTAAACGAATTCACAGGACTTCATATCACGAGACTGTGTTCTCTAGAAAGGAGAAATTTCTGTGCTTCCATTAATCACCAGGAGCCATTAAAATGAAAATCATTGCAAAGAAGAGAAGTAGAAAACTTAGAAATTTGACTGAAGACAGAGGAACTGTAGAAGATGAGATACGATCTCACTCATCACTGCTGAGCCAAAACTTTGAGTTTTCTTAGCCATTAGATGCTAAAAGGTGAGGCAGACATAAAACAGCTATAAGCAGCTAATGCCCTCGATGAAAAACTTTTGCCCTGGTAAAGGCTCTGTTGAAAACATTGCCCACATGAAGCCATTCTCAGAATGAGCTGGGACTCAACTAACCGAACTTTTTAGACTCTAAGAAAGTAGATACATACAACATTGCTAAAGGTAGAGACTAATAAAATTTACTAGCATTCTACAAACTCACACCTCTGTTCCACCAGCCAAATTCTGCCAAGAAAATATTATCAGATTAACTAGATGCCAAACTCCAGATCATTGATCATAGCTATAACAATCCCCTTTTACTTAGTTGATCATATTAACCTAAAATTTGATCATGATATTGAACACATGTTCAGCTTCTCCACATTACTCATAAACAATCCAAGTGAAATCTCTTCAACCCGGATCATCCAATTGTTGATTCAACACAGTAAATAAATAAATAATAAGAATCCTACAAATAATATAATCATCAAATAACTGATTCAGATCATATTATTTAATTTTAGGGAAAGAAAATAAAAACTGTAGAAAAGATAAAAATTACCTGTAGATCCTTGAACACTGAAAACAAAGCCAATGACACACAGCTTCAGCAACTGGAGAATCAGTGGCATAAGCTTCCCCTTCTCCTTCTCCATCCCCATCCCCATCCCCATCCCATACACACCAAATCTCAAAACCAACCTCCTCAACCTCAATGATGATGAAGAAATTAAAGCAAGCAATAAATTTAATAATAAAATAAAAAGTTCAAGAGAATGATTTATAGCTTGAAGCAAGAACAAGATTAGATGTCACATTAACAAAGACCCACAAACAGTAAGACAAAAGCAATGTCAAGGCAGTTTAAGGCCAAACCCAGAATCATAAAAGTTTGGTGAAAACTACAAAAGAACCCCAGAAACGATTTTTCTGGAAATACAATCTCTGAAACTATCAAAAAGCTCAGAGATTTGTCATGCATGAAAACCAGTTTCAGAGACACAACTAAAAACTAACCCAAGACAACAGTTAAAACACTAAAAAAGCTACAGTACAACGTAAGTAACAGACTTTCTAGTTTGGAGTTTGCAGTTTGGCATGATTAATATATTTTTTAAATAGAAAAGTTAGATTTAAAAGTGGGAATTGAAGGAAAAGTAAGAAGTTGGAAGTTGAAATTTGTTGGGATTATAAGTTAATGGAAGAACTTGATAAAATTGAAGTAGATTTCAGCTGATCCTGTTGGCCAATTTCAGATGGTGAATCCGTGAGAGTGAGTTATGGCATGTGTCAGTATTAAACAATTTGACACATCACCTTATAACATGTTCCTTCCTTCCTACTAATTTAATTCAATTAAATTAATAATCATAATCTTTTTTCATTTTTCATTTATATAAGTAAGTGTATTCTATGTTACGGTTCACTGTCCCTGTCAAGCAGGGAAGTGGATAGTAGTTATTAATTTCTAGAGGCTCTTTATGTGTTTAACATTTTCTATTCTTTATGTCAAAATATCTTACACCATCCTTTATTTGTTGGGGTTAAAATTTAGAAGATTTGTAAATATCTGGTGTATATATAATATAAGTTTTTAAAGTGCAGATAATATATATCATTTCACTCTCATATATGAGGATGTTTTGTAATTTTTTATGTGCTGGTCAAGGTAAGTGCCAAGGGTTATATGCCGAGAGTTTCACACCTAGAAGGCTAACCCGTTAAGTGGAGGAATTCCTCCTTTTATTTGCTCAAAACCTCTCTAATACACTTTTGATGTGAGATTCATTACACTAGACAATCACTTCTCCTATGTGGAGGTTCTAAAATTTTTTATGTGCAGACCAAGGGTAAATACCCAAGCACTCACTTCGTAAAGTCTATAATGTGAAGTGAGCGTCTAGGTACTTGCCTTTGGTCCATACAGAAAAAAGTTCACCATGTCTATAATGAAAAAATTATATATATATACTTTTGTTAATTTAAAGTTTAATTTCTTGTTTTATGTAAAATAAAATGGTTTATCAATTATAAATTGAAATAATGGGTATGGTCACAATTAGGGCTGTATGCGAGCCAACTCGGTTTGACAAAAGTCGAGCCGATCTCGAGCTCAAACGGCTCGATGGATAATTGAGTCGAGCCCTGAGCCACTAAGTACTCGACTCGATAGGCTTGCAAACAGCTCGAAAGGGTATAAGTGCAATGTTTTCAAGTATGAGGGGATATATGTTATTTAACATTTACCATATAAATTATTCCAATAAAGTCTTCTACTAGGTCTTCACCAGCCAACACTTCTCCTTCTCTCTCTCTTTTTCTCTTTTCTATTTTCCTTCTTCTTCTTGTCTTCTCTCTTCTCTTTCCTGTCTCGCCCCTTCCTTAACCAAGCTGCATTTTCTTCTGCGAAATGCTTCACATGTTGAAGTGATTGAAAGTAGTAATTCCACAAATGGGTGCAATTTGTTAAATTATTTTATGGTGGATTTGAGTTCATCTTTTGTTCACGAAGAGAGAGGATGTGATCTGTTTGCGAGTGATTTATTTAATATTGTAATTTTGTTCAAGAGGAACAGGAAGAAATAGACGAGCTGAGTTCGAGTCGAAATCAAGCTCAACAAATCATCTCGAGCCAAGCTTCGAGCCTGGTTTTCAAAGCTCAACGAACCCAAGTTCGAGCTCGCTAAATTTTCACAAGCCAAGCTTCGAACACCATGGTGTTCAGCTCGGCTCGGCTCGTATACAACCTGAGAGTGAGACAGAATGGAAGACTAGCTGTGAATTGATGAAATGAAAAATGAGTGCATAAAGCAGATTCAATGTTTTAAAAACGGTTGATTTGTACAAAACATAATTAAAGTGGGTAGGTCATTGATTTGAAGGAGCCACATATTCAAGCATATACTTGTGGGGTTTTCTTTTTATATATAATTTTTAATTTTGGTGAGAAAGCTCCAAACCACCAAACAAAAAGATGTACCCAATACCAATATATAAAATGTGCCAAAAAGGTGACAAGAGGATTAATTACCTAAACAGAATTTTTAAGTATATTGACGCTTGATTTTGGATGCCAACGACTCGCACGTGAGAAGCGCTAAGCGGACTTAGGAATCACACGTGATGGACCCATGAGATTTGAATATGGAGCTGAGATTATATATGTTGCAGAAAAATATAAATAAAAGATTGGCGAGAGGGATTTTTATAGTGGTTTGGATGCAACAAGCGACTCCTACATCCACTGTTATTTTATTGATCTTTGACTATTTCTATGATTTTGCCCATAAGGCATACAAAGATGAAGAAATACAATGTTTACAGAGAGAGAATGAAATGAAGCTCAAATCTCAGCCCAGCCTCCTTCTTTGGGAAGAGGAGTGCCCATTTATATACCTTTGCACTTAATGTAATGAGTATTTTGCAAGTTGCCTTGACACATGGAAGCTCTCGTCCATTCATTTCTTGAAATGAGATAGAGTTGGTGAGAATATCTTTAGAGATATGGGCTTGGCAGCTGGTACAAGAAGACATTAAATGAGTTGACATAGGCGTAACTTTTTAGGCATAACAAAGTAGAATTCCCTTATAATCACAAATTAATATAAAATAATATTAATGAAAAAATGAACATGCATTTATTACCTAATTCCTTTCCTGTTGTCTCTATAGGTGAATATTTTTTCTGATCTCTTGATAGAAAAGAAAGGTTTTAGACACACATCTATTAATAAAACACTTAACCTTAAAGATTGACCTGATGGTCAAAGAGGTTTGCTCTTTTCTTTGAGTTTCTAAATTTAAAGCTTAGAATCACCTACCACAATAATATTTGGTTTGCTTGACCTTTTGGGTTTCTAAGGTATTTAATAGACTCGAGGATTAGAGGTACGCGTAAATCGGTCTGAAGACCCTAGTTATCCCCGAAAAAAAAAAAAAAAATTGAAAATGTGGTCACACACCTATAAGTAAAGAGATGTATAAATGCCCATTAATTACTTGGTGGGTTTCTCGTAGGCTCACTAGCCAACCAACTCATGATGATGAAGAAGAAGATAAGAGATGTTACTGTAACTGTGCAGCATGTGATTAAGACTTAATTAAAAGGTTTAAAATTGTTTAACGCACGATTAGTGAGGTTTCACAGTTTATACTGAAAAGTAATGAAGCCCAAAAGTAGATTTTGGATGGTTGTGGCTATATTCTTTGTCTCACATCATCGCAAAATACGTCCATCCCATGTGAGGCTCGATTGAAAGGGCTAAACTAAAGTTAAAAATTAATTATCTTTAAGAAAAGTTTTCTTTTTATATACAACTACAACTAATCAAATTTACTGCATTTACACCGATTCCTTAGGTCCAAATGGTTAACCAAACAACATGTACGTGATTATTTGGAACTTACAGCAGAGATTAATCTCATGTCACCAGACAACCATGGAAAATCAAATGGATGTAGACAAGTCCAAATACTCCCAATCCATTTATATTATAATTGGTTAAATCAACGGCTAATATAGAAAACAGATGTTTACCAGTTGCAACACTAACTTGTATATTCAAATAATCCAACAAAATTTGGCTTGTCATATTTAAATGTTTTATTTGTTAGCATTCATTTATTCGTTCACAAGAAAGCTTTGCCTCACTGTCTGCATGCAGCTGAAGAATCTAAGTGGGTCCAGACACCATGTGATCACAATCACAATCACCTCAATTGAGATTTCGCTTTACTTTCATTTCATGTTGCAATATTTCTGTTGCTTTTTTAAGGCTGAAAAAGACATCTTCTCTCACCCAACTTAACCCTCAAGGAAAGCTTTGTATGAAGCGTAAAAGTAATTCATCTCCGGTCCCAGATTTTCAATTTTTACTCCTCTCAATTGTAACTTGATGGACCCCCAACAAAGCTGAGGGTTGCACCATTTTTAAGTGTGACCTTAATCATAATTTTTTTGGGAAGGTCCCAGGACCACATCCGTATTCACTACTACAGACACTAATTTTTTTTTTTTCCCGAGAAACAAGCTATAGTGTATATACGTGACTGAGAAAACAAGTGAAATATGATTCATGATTGTTGAAACTCATCACATTAAACCCGACCAGATGGAATCAAGCATCAACATTATAAATGTTTCTATTTCTAAAGCTGGACGTAAAGCTTTCTAAATCGTTACTGAGTGTCTGTTGGTGCAAAACAGATATTGGTGCATAACATCAAAATCCCAAATGCACAACTTGAGAACCAGTTAATTTTCTTTTAAATAAAACCAAGCTGATGCTGAGGCTAGGAGACTATAATTTAGTTAGTGCAGAAACACCACCTTTTCATTGCACTGGATGCAAAATATGATAGGGCACTTAGAGGCAATTTGAGCAGTGATGTGGATACCAGACAACCTCACAGCACTTGTTTATCTGAAAGCAGATCTCTTCCATCACAAGCATCATGGAGTACCCTCACCAATGAACACTGTAACAAATCCGCGTCAAATATGGGCTGAGTAGACGTTTTTAAGATTAAAGAAGTAAATAGTAGCTTACAGGGTAGGATACATCACCCGCCGATTAAGCACCGATTGTAATGATATGCTTCGTCACGACAAATCAGAACATTAGGCTGTCATTATGACTTCTGTTCATAACACATCATTGATTAGGATCAAATTCTTCAAACCGTTTCTTGAAATTTTCAGCCATCTTAACTTCCTCATCCTTGCCAGGTGTACAGTTCCTCCAATCAGCCTTCTCTGCAATGTTCAGCAAGCCTGCCAAAACCTGCAAATGCATTCCATTACATCCAGTTTTATTGTTACAATTTTCCATCTAATTGATTAGGTTCATTTCTTCAAAAATATATTTGTACATTTCTGATAATTAGCTTCATGTGATTTTAAAAAGATTTATCCATACACCAGAATATTAATAACAAACAGGCTGTAATTAGATAGAAAGCCAATGGTAAACATTCATCACCAGCCAATTAATTATTAACCAACATATTTGAGCATGCAAATCAACATACTTAAGTATATTACCTCACGTCCAAATTGGGCTGGGAATCTTTCATTCTCTTCAACTATATGCGACAGAATTGTACCACCAGGGAGTTCCACATAAAAGAAACTAGAGTTCCTATCAAACTGTGTCCTCAATGATTTTCTCCCATCAGAGCTATTATTGGCTGCAAGAGATAAATCAGAACAAAGATATGGTCAAAGTTAAGATATATCAAAGCCTGCTCAAATTAACATTCAAGCATGTCACTCCCACATTGGTTAAGTTGACATACATTTCCTATAACAGAAACATAATAGCTGAAGAACCTTGAATAATTAGTATCCACCACATACTATAAATAAACAGATAAACTTACATTTTATCGCCAATAATTTAAAACCCAACTTTTCAGCAGCCAAGTTAAATATCTCTTGAACAACAGCCGCTTTGGATGAGGGAATTGGAACAGCCTACCCAGGAAAAAAAAAACAAAGTAAAGACCAAATATAATTACTAAGATTGCATAAATATAATAACAATGTGGCAAGGATCTTCTCTGCAATTAAAAATAGAAAGTGCTAATCACAGTGGCCAGGATCAAATGCAGAATAGTGCAGTAAACCCATCAAGAAGCATACATTAACTTCTATTGAGTATTAATTATTACACAAGGAAGCAGCACTTTCCTTGAACTATTTGAAAAGGAAAAATATGGAATTACAGATATATCTAAGTTAACATAATACACAAAACTGTAGTCAAGAAAGCACGCCTTATAACCTCTTATACAACAAATCAAAAAGGAGAGAGTGAGAGAGAGAGAGATGCCCCACTGACAAAAAATATTTGCAGCGTCTTATACAAATAACAGTTGATATGTTAAAATAAGCAGTTACTTATAAGTAATACATCAATTCATATATATTATGCATCTGATAAGACAAATACAATTTAATACCTGAAGATTAGCATGAGTACCACGTTTGGAAACCCATTCGAAAAAAACAGTTTCCTTCTCCTGTTTTTTATAATACAGCTTGAGACTGCTTTGGAATTTGCCAAGCTCCATTTCGCTCTCCGGTGAAAGAGAAATGGTGTTAGGTGAGTGCTCAACAGGTACTATCAACGCATGATCTTGAACAAGTGGGCCTTTAGGCAGAGCACAATAGTAATGCTCTCCTATGCTAACAATCAGATGTGACTCCACGTTCGGGCTTGACAAACAAAACCAGCACTCCTTTGACCTGTAATTCAATTTCAAAATACATCACCATTCAGACGTTATATACACTTCATTCAGACAAAAAGGTACCAACAAAATAAGAAAGTAAATTTGAACAAGCTAAACAATATGTCAAGACTGAAAACAAATTGAAATAAATTAAACAAGAAACCATATTCACAATAACCTAACCATTCAATTAGAAAATTGTTACTTCAACAAGGCACCAACCTGTTAGCAGCAGCATTTTCAGAAGCAGATCTCCTGTGAGAATGGCTCTCACCTTCACTCTGTAGACTGTGCTTAAAGTTGCATTCTGGGCCCTTTTCACATTTTCCTTTGATAATAAAATCAAGACAAACGCCTCTTAAACATTGTTCTCTTGCATCAGTATCATGTCGAAAGTTGCATTTCTCCCCACGTGGACAAGTCCCAGAATATATAAATTTAAAACACAGCCTATCACCGTCACCTCCTCCATGTTTATGTCGTTTTTGAGGAACATCATATCTCCAATATTGAGAATCCAAAACACTATCGTTAGGCCTCTTTGTGGCTTCTTTAGAATTAGCAGCTTGATCTATGAGTGTGTATGGAGACAAGGTAGTGTTTCGAGACTTCATGCTTATCTCAGCAGCAGACATAGCAGATGCTGGAGTGGGAGAAATTGCATGAATAAATTTCTGAAAAGAATATATTGGAACTAAGTGTTAGAAGAAGCAGAAGAAGAAGAAGAGAAACTTCTCCAAAGGCAAAAGCTAGTACTGAATTGCCCATAAGCAGTATTCTGAGGCATATATCATGCTTTCATGCAGAAAGTGAAAAGGTCCAAACCAATAAGGAATTCAAAAATACAAAGTTCATCTGAAGTGTTGTCTCAATCACTAAGAATGCCAATTGGTACATGCCAGGCCTAGAGTAGTAGGGGATGCTATTTGCAAGCTTGATATTTTTTTTTACTTTCTACAAATCTTCTAGAAGCAAACAAAGACACACAACATGGTTTACAAAATAATGTTTAATATGCACATATACAATATACCATCAAGCAACAATTTCTACATTCATTAGTCAAACACCCAGTCATTGTGTACCAGCATGTTACAGATATTGATGTGGTAACATGATATATCATGAAAAGTTTCAACTCATCAAAATGATGAAAACAGAGTTTATAAATGTTCAAACTTGCAAGGAATACTAATCACACCTGTTTATCCTTGTTTCCAATAGGAGCAAGACCCAAAAAGCGAGTTACGTGAACAGCGTCAATATTAGAGTAAGGTTCACGAGCATAGAATACACCCTTAGAACCTGCAATGTGATAGCTTCACGAAGGATAACCATAATTTAGAAAAAAGGCCCATGATTCTACTTGATACAAACAGCAAAGATATGTTCAATCACAAAACACCAGACAGTAGTAAAAGAATGATGAAGCATTCAATAAAGACCTTATCACAACCTTTGACTCAAGGAGTCATCATGCTTTTATTTGATGCTTATAAACTATTATGTCCCTAAGCAGTGCTACTAATGACTCTTGCTTAAGTGTTAACTTAAATGGCAAGGAAATTCCTAATGCAATAAAGACCTTATCACAACCTGCTGACTCAATGAGTCATCATGCCCTCATTTTGATGATAACAAACTATTATGGCCCTAAGCATCGTTATTAATGACTCCTGTTTATGTGTTGACTTGGATTGCAAGAAAATTCTAAATGCATAAAAAGACAAAGTTTGGATGTAGAAATTTGAAAAACTCAAGAAAGCTTAAGTTTAGGTATATTTCTTTGTAATCTATTTTAATTGTAAAAGTATGAATCTTGGTTAAAAAAGCCATTTACTTGTGAAAGCTCTAAAAAACTTGTTTTTAGGTTTTTCGCATTTGACCAAAAATGTCGCTTTTCGAACACGGGGTTAAACTGATATTTGTCAAGTTTTACATCTTCACTTTTAATCCAATCTGGTCAACTGGATTGTGCATCCAGATTTGATTTTACTTTTGGAAGCTATTTGTAAACTGAAAAACAGCTTGGTTGGAGTTTGACAACCCCAGGATGGTGAAACACTCGAAGGGAAAGCTTGAAGGAGTGGGTGTAGGCTGATTTGGTCCGAACCACTATACATCGAGTGGTTGCTTTTCTTATCCCTTCACTCTTCACTTTTATGCAATATTTATATATTTTTATGCTTAATTGATTGCCACCGAATTTGTTAGAATCACTAAAGTGCATTAGAATAGCCTTAAGTCACAAAGCATTTTTGCTTTGAACATATTGATAAATTGACCTTAGGAGCTTTAAAAAGGTGAATTCGATCTTTCACAACCAACAGAAGCTCCATTTGACAGCAATACATATACAGCCTAGATCTTGATAACAATTAGATATAGCCACTAAAAAAGCATTACATTGTAAGATTATGGATTCTAAGGTGACAGTAAAACATCTTCATCCTTTACTCAACACTTCTATCTAATATACTGAATGTAGAACTTGTAAACTGCAAATAAATTTGACATGGATTTTTTATTTACATAACTCCTAGTATTTGGATGACATATCAAATACAAGTTTACATATAATGAAAAGTGAAAGTTGCATGCAAATGCAAATCCTATCTTAGATATCAACATCGTGACAAAAGATGCATCATCTACCATAAACATTTGTAACTTTAAAGCCTCTTTGATGATTTTGGAGAGCAGAATAATCAACAATTGGAATAGGAATAGTAAACCAAGAGGACCATTACTATTGTCAAGCACATTGATTGTAAGCAGTAATCTCCAAACATCACATACCGTGGTTTGATCTCTGCCACCAACTCTGCTACAGTAGCATCACTGCCAGATGAATCTGAGATTCCTGCAGGTATGTCAGATGTAGCAGCTCTGTTTGTGACCCCACTTGGCCATTCATTAGTGAGAACTGGTAAAGGAAATCAAACAAACAGACCTTGCAATTAAACGGCAGACACTTAAAAGAGAATTCATTCCCTTTATACAAAACAAGGATATGTTAGGAACAAGTCAACAATTCCAGGTTCCTCAGCTAATGCTCGCAATGCATCAACATCATCTTGATTATAAGTTCCGAACTGCTGGCCATTCGATGATTGCCTACCAGATAAATATACCACAGATAAACCTAAACAGGACCACAGTAGTTCAGCAATGGAGAAGAAAATACATAATCACCAAAACTTGTCTTACTACATCCAAATATGAATTAATATAGTCATTATGTATTGGAAGAAATGCTACAAGCTTCAACATATTTGTTTCAATGCAAAGGAGTAAACAGATATTTTTTTGTCACAAAAATAGTGCTATACTCTCATTATTCTGCAAACCAGACAAAATCATAAGCAAAAAATCCGCGTATTACCAAGCAATAATCACTTTATAACCATCATCTGTCACCAAAATTTCGTGAAAAAACTAATTGCTGCTTCTAAAAACTCCCAACCAAAGGTATCGTAAATCATACTTGAATGTGAAATTAAACAATTACAAAAACAAGAATAACTTGTAACATATAGTGTAAAGTGCTTACAAACTTAAAATTGTGAGACAGAAAGTAAAACTTGTAAAATGAGGGTTAAGACTAGTAAAACATTATATAAATATGACAATTGGTATTAATAGCTACATTCTTTGGTATAGAATAATCCTAAAAAGTAAGGAAGTGATCCTAAGGTTTAAAGTAAGTTCGTAATAAGCATACCGTAGAGAGTGAACTTGCCACTGCCTTTCAACCAGAATAAATTATTGGAAATTTTGAGGCCGTCCATCTTGAAACCCTGATTGAAGGAGTCCTTAGAAGCGGCTATCAGGACCTTGGCGGCGCCAACACCGTAATCGCCGATGAAGTAGGTCGGGAGAGGAATTTCAGAGCGGCCTTCGACATAGTCCATAAACTCCTCCTGACGGTCGGGTGAGTCCGAGAAAAACTGGCCGACACAGAGAAGTGCATCAAACGGACCAGCTGATTTGTTCACCTGGAATCAGTACAAGCAGGAGAAAAATGTAAGTACATAACCCTGTTTGTGTGTGTAATTTACAAAGAGTGGGGAGAGAGAGACCGATTGGACTCGCTTGAAGAGCTGGTTCATACGGCCTAAAACGTCGCCACATAGCAGAATTCTAGGAGGAGCCATGAGTGGGAGAGAAAAATGGAAAAGCGGGTTCTTGTATTTGGTTTTTAGGTATTGGGGTCGTAATGCGGGTAGGATGGTTGAATGAGTCAAAGAGGGAGAAGAATTTTGGAGATTTGGGCCAAGTAACATGGGCCGGCTCTAAGATAAAGAACAGACCCATAAGTTTATTTCCTTAGAGCATTTTTTTTTTTTTACATCCTTAACGTAAAATAACAATCTATTTTATTATTTCAACGATGCAATTTAAAATGTAATATTATACTTACAACCTAATCTCATAAATTTTCTCTCAGAACTCTAATATGGCAGCTCACAATTTGTCAGCTTGTAAACTGGTATCGTTTGCTCGCTATGGATCATGTCTACCCATTTGTGAGCTGACCAATTGCAAGTTATCACATCGAGATTGTGAGAGAAAGTTTATAAAATTCAGTTGTGAATAAATCTTTATCAAATTTAGAATTACAAAGTTTGGAATAGATACTTCGTTTCGGTTAAAGCATTTAGACTGTTGTTTGGTTTATGGAATATTATATTAATGAAAAAATAGATTACCTTGAAAATTATTAGGTATGTTTAGGAAAATGTGTTTTGGTTAATTGGAATAAATTGGTGGATATGTTATATTGATATGTTTGGTTTGAAGGATAAATTGATGGGTATGTTATATAGATTACTAAACTGCCCTCTTTTTTAAATATTAATATAATATTGTTTTTGAATTATTTTGTTTAACCCCCAACATATGAAATTTTGCTAAAACACCCTAGCCATTTAAAACTTTAATTTGCAACAAAATCACTCCCACTCACCTCAAGCCACTACCGACAACCAGCCACCATTGTCGACAGTCACCGTAATGGCACACGATCGACCGAATATGGTCGGTCGTGCGTCGAAAACGACCAAATCTATAGTCATTTCATGGCTAAAGATGTGGTCGTGAAACAACCATATCTGGTATGATCCATGGCCAAAAAATGACCTTATTAGCGCTCGACCGGTCATGAGCCATTCCAATGACTATCGGCAGCCGACGACAGTCTTGGGTGGCTAGGGTGCTGGTTGGGGGTGGCTAGGGTCTTGGGTAAGGTTGAAGTGCAAAGGTAGTTCTGTCTTAAAAATCCTGAATATGAGGTTAAAATTGTCCATAAATTTATTGTAAATTGTTTAGATAATAAAGGTATTATTGTCCAAAAAATTTATTGATAAGAGGTAAAATTTTAACAAAATTAAGATTATCAAGTAATCTTAAAAAACTTAAGAAAATAGAGGTAATCAGATTACCTCCTACATTACCAACAGTAATTACTATTGATTTTGGAAGATTATTGGAATCTTATATTATTTTACAACTAAACATTATACTCAAGTAATATAAGATGACATTACCTTAGTAATGGAGGACCACTCCCAACCAAACACACCTTTAATAAGCTTCAAACAATTGCAAGCATAAGTTCTCTTTCACTTTATCCGTTTATCAATTTTAGTTTGTTTTTGCCCCTTCATTACTTGAACAGTTAAACATCAAAATCCAAGAAAACCCAAAGGGGGCATTTGGTTGGGGGTTATATGAGATTACTAGGGTTATGTCATTTTATATTACTTGATTATCACGTTTGGTTGTCAAGTAATATAAGATTCTGGTAATCTTTCAGTATCAATAGTAGTNTTCGTTTAACCCCCAACATATGAAATTTTGCTAAAACACCCCAGCCATATAAAACTTTAATTTATAACAAAATCACCCCCACTCACCTTAAGCCACTACCGACAACCAGCCACCATTGTCGACAGTCACCGTAATGGCACACGATCGGCCAAATATGGTTGGTCGTGCGTCGAAAACGACCAAATCTATGGTCATTTCATGGCTAAAGATGTGGTCGTGAAACAACCATATCTGGTATGATCCATGGCCGAAAAACAGCCTTACTAGCGCTCGATCGGTCATGAGCCATTCCAATGACTATCGGCAGTCGACGACAATCTTGGGTGGCTAGGGTGGTGGTTGGGGGTGGTTGGGGTCTTGGGTAATTTGGTTGAAGTGCAAGGGTAGTTCTGTCTTAAAAATCCTGAATATGAGGTTAAAATTGTTCATAAATTTATTGTAAATTGTTTAGACAATAAAGGTATTATTGTCCAAAAAATTTATTAATAAGAGCTAAAATTTTAATAAAATTAAGATTATCAAGTAATCTTAAAAAACCTAAGAAAATAGAAGTAATCGGAATATCCCTTACATTACTAATAGTAATTATTATTGATTTTGGAAGATTATCGGAATCTTATATTATTTTACAACTAAACATTATACTCAAATAATATAAGATGACATTACCTTAGTAATGGAGGACCACTCCTAACCATACACACCTTTAATAAGCTTCAAACAATTGCAAGCATAAGTTCTCTTTCACTTTATCCGTTTATCAATTTTAGTTTGTTTTTGCCCCTTCATTACTTGAACAGTTAAACGTCAAAATCTAAGAAAACCCAAAGGGGGCGTTTGGTTGGGGGTTATATGAGATTACTGGGGTTATATGAGATTACTAGGGTTATGTCATCTTATATTACTTAATTATCACGTTTAGTTGTCAAGTAATATAAGATTCTGGTAATATTTCAATATCAATAGTAGTTATTGTTGGTAATATTTGAGGTAACCTGATAACCTCCATTTTCTTAAGTATTGTAAGATTACCAAGGTAATCTTATTTTTGTTACAATTTATCTCTTATTAATAAAATTTAAGGATAATAATACCCTTATTTTTAAATTAATCTACATGAATATAGTATTTACTATTTCACTCCAATTGATTAACTTTTTTGACAAAATTACTCTTAAATTCAAAACAAATTGCAGCTCATCCAAGCAACCACCTCCACCCCCACCCACCTGCCGCTGCCAAACGCCAGCTAAACCACCGTCGACCTTCACCAGAAGTCGTTGGAATACGCCATGAGTAGCCCACCGTCATCGAGAGGCTCTGATATGGTAGTTTCTGGCCATATTGATGGCCGAAAACACCCTTATTGGAGTAAATCTGGCCAGATTTTATCAGCCATATATACTCTGATAGGGGTGTTTTCGGCCTTCAATATGGCCAGAAAACGGCCATATCAGAGCCTCTTGGTGAAGGTGGGCTACTCATGGCGACTCTAAGTGACTTATGGAGACTTTCGACAGCAGATGGCGGTAGTGAGCAGGGGTGTTCAAAAGAACTGATTGGAACTGGAACCGATGGGTATCCGGGGTTTGGTTCCGGTTCCTACCCAGAACCGGCCGTCAATGGGTAGGTTCCAGTTCCAAATTTTTGGAACCGTTACTATGCGGTTCCGTTCCGGTTCTTTTAGTTAGAAACCGAAACCGGAACAGAGAACCGAGACTAATATAAAATAAAATTAAAGAGTAAAGGGTTAATAAAAACTTTTGTAGGAAAAGTAATGTGAATACATTTACATTTATATTTCATAACATTTGATGTAAGTTGGTTTGACTTTTGAGAATCTATCTTTACAAAGTAATGGAGTTTGTAATTTTGAATTTTGAATTTTGAATTTATAATTTGTAATTTTATTTTTGTTAACAAGTTCCAGGTAAGGGGGTATTTGTAAGTTTTTAAGGGTTTTTTTGCCATTTTAAAAACTTTGGGGGGGTCATGAATTTTACAGGGTACCCAGAACCAGAACCGGAATCGTTTTACAGGTTCCGGTTCTAGGTACCTAGGAACTGAAACTGTTGGTTCCGGTTTTGGTTCCAAATTTCAAGGAACCATCGATTCCGGTTTCTTCAAAAAATGCAGGGTACCTAAAACCAAACACCCCTAGTGGCGGGTAGTGGCTTGGGGTAATGAGGGTGATTTTGTTATAAATTAAAATATATATAAGCGCGAGTGTTTTAGCTATATCTAAAATGTTGAGGGTTAAAAAAAAATTCAAAAATTCAAAAATTAATAATAAAAATAATATTATATTAATATTAAAAAAAAGAGCAATTTAGTTATTTAAATAACATATCTACCAATTTATTTCTCCTAACCGAACATATTAATATAATATACCAACCAATTTATTCAAACTAACAAAATATATTTTCCTAAATATTCCTAATAATCTTCAAGGTAATTTAATTTTCCAGTAATCTAATATTCTTTCAACCAAATACACTTTAAATAATATACTGCTCTGGGTGACACTGACACATCAACCCCAAGTGTCTGACCTCAAGGCCATGTCCTTCATTACAGCATGGCAGCTAGTTTTGTTTTTCATTACTAGTGATGGTTGGTGGGTGGTGGTGACGGGGTGGGCGTCGGACTTGTTAAATGTTTTGTATTTTTAGATGTTAATCAAAACTTAAGGTCTTATGTGTGACATAATGGTTAAAAAATAATAAATTAATTACATTGACCTCAATTTTCATTGTAACTCTTTTATAGTGGGAAATTTTATAAGAAACAATATAAAATAGAGTTATCATCTTTGAACACTAAAACATCACCAAAATACCTTAATTAAGTATTATAAAGCTCTTTCTATCTCCGTTCATATTTTTTTGAACGTCAATAAGCCTACAAAAAAATTTTATTAATTAGGAAATGAAAGTCTAGTTCACATGGGAGAATTAATGGAAGCCCAAACCAATCCCATCTGCCACATCCCACATATGTACCAATATTAATGGTGACTTGGACACTAAATTAATGAATAATTTAATGTGAATTGATTACGTTCACATTATCACATATTCACTAAATATTAGGCCATACCTAGGCCTATCCAAGTCTATGGACAGTGTGTCAATATAAAGATGTGTTCATTGATAAGTCCCTATTTTGCCCATCCTTCCTCCCCTGGTCCTCATTCTCATTCAATATTAATAGTGACTGAAAGGCAAAACTAATGAACACGTGAGAAACGATTGTGAGTGTCCGAGATCCTGTCGACCACCTGTTGCTTGTCATATTTTTTTCTTGTTTTCACCAACTTTATTTCATTAATCCATTGAAAAGGGTGTTCATCAGGATATTTTAATTTGA